AAGAGTAATTATTGATTACTGTGTTCTACTTAGAGGTAGGTATAGAGATTAAGTGTGGATGACCGTAAATAGCTTGTATGAAAATGTTAAAAGTATGGTTGAGTTTGGGACATTAGATACTGATTTCTTTGAGTGACAGAAGGAGTTTAAATACAGGGCTGTGTTTTTTCACCCATCATTTTTTCTATTTACAACAATGTGCTAGCAAATGTAAACTACTCGACACAGGCGTAGCTAGGGGAGAACAGGGCCCAATTGCCTATTTTGAATTCCCTCCAGAGAATGCCATCTAGTTCGACAAACATCATCTGCAAAAAATAACAACTCATTTGTGTTTTATATTCAAAAGTGAGCTAGCAAATATGGTCCATTCACAGCAATGTTCATTCTTTACAGACAATGTTATGTCAACTAATTGTGCAGTCTCTGGAGGCGATTCAAAATTATTTCCCATGCTTAAAGATTGTCAAAAGTCTTACTCGGTAAAGATAATATCTATGCATACCACGAACAAAGAGATGTAATAAACTATTCAACACTGGTGTCTAGGGGAGAACGGGCCGTCCTAGTTCAACATAATATCATCTGCATATTAAATAAACAACCCATTTGTGTTATTTATAAAGTATATCACCCACATTGCTCAATGATTACAAATCCATTTTTATTCAGTAATTATTAAACCTGGTTGTAATAAGAGCTGGTTATGCCTACGTACATTTTACTTTTGGTCTAGGAGGAGGTATACATTCTGTGTCAAGTGTGGCCTTGCTTGGTCCGACTGGCCCGACGAGTGTTTGATGCGAATAGGGCCTAGAATTATTCTATTATTATAGCCTTGGCCCTCGGGGGAAGCGGTGGCTCCAGGAATTTGCTGACAAGGTGTCCAACGGGGTGCGGTCCAAAAGTGGGCAACTAGAACCTCCATTCGAAGTAACGTTTTGGATAGGCAAATTATTTTTTTTTGTTTTGACTTGACCATGGAGTAAAGAATTCTTGACTCTGTGATCCGATGACATCATCGTGGCGTCGGACAGCGGGGTGGGGGTGTTTGCACCACAACTGCTGGGGGTACAGAACTCTGTGGCGGGGGGTGGGTGATGACAGACGCCATTGTTGAAAAATTATTTTCTTTTTGATCCGACGACCTCGCCTGGTCACTGGATAACGTACAATGGCAAACCAGCACACAAGTGCAACCTTCTCTGCTCCCTGGTGAGTATCCCCAGTTGTTCGCTACTTCTTTAGCGCACAAAACATTCAATGCCGCAACATCCTACCAGGTACCCATTTATACTCCTGGTAGAGAGACAAACATAGATAAAGTGCCTTGCCCAAGGACACAAGCGACTTGCACAGCCCATCCCTATGCCATATATATCTCATATATGCCTTAAACTACATTTCTGAAGTCTATAATAGATCATCTTGATTATTTTAATACTTTTCACACAATTAGATATCCTAGTGTGTGAAATTAAAAATATATGACCTATTAATATGAGGGGTGTCTTAGAAAAAGTTGGTCAAAAGGTTGAGGTCAAAAATGTAAAAAGAAACAAAATTTACCAAAATGTTAACACTAAGTTTCAAAATAAATAATGATTTTTACTTTGAAATTTTTGACACTTGCAGGTTCCTCTTCTTTAACATTTAAAATTTATATATATTTCCAGCATTACCACAAAATGGTTTAGATGGTTTAAATAGTTTATCTCTATCATATCATTATATATATATAGATATATGTATGTATGTACAACATATGCTTCGAGTCGAGTAATAAACACTGTGGGACAACAGGTTCAATTGAAGAACACAACAAACTTTATTAAAACTATATACACTATGTACAAGAACTCAAGCTGTTGATAACTACTCTCTCTGAATGCTTGATTAGAGCTCACTGTCTACTAATCAAGGGACTCACTATTATAGTATATTCGATAATTCAGATGATGATTATGATGAATATTTGGTAACTTGTGTCTAGCAGTACCTGTGTGACCCCAGTGAGTTCATGATATGCGTTGACCATAACTCTTAGGTTTGACAGATTACAAAGTTGAATGTTCAGACTAAAGTATCTAGGTTAATTATCTATGGAGGACACCTTTATGGCCACTAACGGACCTGGGTTACACCCACCCCCTCCTTTCTGAACGTCAGACATTAAATATACATCAGCTGAGGAAATGGAATCTTACCTATAAATCAAAAACTTACAATAGTGTTCATGAACCAGAAGAAAGCTTAAAAGTACAATTACATACAAAACAATAGTAAAAACCTTGAAGTCTAAATTACCTTAAATTTAAAATCAATTACATTACATTAATACAACAAAGTATTCGGGTATAAACAACTTAAATACAAAGCAAAATTAAAAAGTAATCATGGGCATACATATCCAACATCACAGTACAAACATATTATATCCCACATCACAGTACAAATATTAACCACTGTATATACAGTATGCCTGATAAAATGTAACTGATATATGCTCCGAGTCGAGTAGTAAACACTTTCGGATTTCCATTTTTAGCCGCAGTTAGCGAGCTAGCCGCAGTTATTTTTAATGGCAGTATACAACAAGAATATACAAGGTTGACTTTACATACTTAAATGTATGCTGCAGAGCATTGAACATATAAATATAAACAAATAGGTAAATGATAGAAAGAGTGCTTAATTTTAGGAACGACTGATGTTTATAAAAGTATAAGGCATAGCCCATCAACAACATATATAAGCTAGTCACTCAGGTTCGATCATACAACTATAATTTGTTCCATTTTGTTTTGTGGGCCTTTTTGATGCTTAAAATTTTTAACTTGTAAACTTTATTTTGTATAATACAGTGGTTTTAGCCCAAAGGCTCTTTTAATAGGGAATATTTGCAATAAATAAATTCAATTTCAGATAAAATATCAGAAACAATATACATGATTGCTATAAGCCAGCAGGCTTTTTATTATTATGCTATAGATTCAACCGTGGATGAATTAGTTTATTTCCACCATGAAGCAACTAACTACTCAGTGCATTTTAAATAAGTAACATTATAGTGCAGTGAACTGATGGTGACCACAGACTGGTCGACATTCCGGTCAATATTTCTAGAAATAAATTAGTATGTTCTGAGAACTGATACTAATTTTAGGTATATTTGCAAAAACTATCAAATTGTAGAAAAATTATGTATTGGAATAATTTGATATACAATAATCAATTGTTGGATTGGGTAATTATGGAATACTAAACTACTATATTCACCCCTCCTTTCTGTATGTCAGTCTTGATGTTCTGATTAGATAACTAAATGTGGTTGTTAATCATAATATAAAAGTAAAAAATGATGAAAAAGCTATATACGTGTCTTAATGAAAAATGAAACAATAGAAATAGAAATCAAACTTTCTTAAAATTATGAAGAGTAAATAGTTATTATTATTAATAACTAAATTAAAAACAAACTAAACTTTTTACATTTTTTAATGAAAAATGAGCTGATGGAAGCGACAATTATTATAGCGCTCTATTTTAAAGCTTTTAAAGGATTTGACCTCAGTTGTTACGGACATTCTCAATAATTTAGTAGTAATGTATGTAAACAAAATAAAAATTTAACAGTTTCAACAGGCATCATAGAGTTCCTAATACATCAATCACAAAAGCAATGTAATACAGCACGTCAAAACTAAAATCATCATCAACATAAATAACATTATATATCTATATATTTGATGTCGAATTATGAAACCTGATAGCTTATGCAGCTTGACCCCTTTGTCTTTCTTTCTACTTCCTGTCCACTGCCAATTCCTGATTTCGGAAAAGAAAGTAAAAAATATACCTCTGGCTCCGTTTAATAAAATACCTAGTCATTAAATCATCTTTTGCACTCAGTTTAAACTGGTACTATAATGAAAGCAGAAACTAAAATCATAATTTAAATTGAAATCGTAAATTAAATGTTAAATTAAGCCCACGACCAGAATGCAATCAACTGATGACACACATCAGTAATTTCCTGCGACCATGTTTTAGGTCGCAATCTAAAGTATTTCTAACCATGCTTTTGTACTCCCAACTTTTTATGCTACAAAAGTTTATACAATAAACTTTCAATATTTTATGCATCAAAATTTCCCAGTTACCAATATTTGTTTACAACTATCTTTGTTACCAACATTGTTATCCACAACGCAGCTATCAACACATGAGCTATCAATATGTTTAATAATTGTATATTTGTATTGTTGCATTTCCCTTGTTTGCTACTGCAACTCTCCATGGATTATGTGAGATGGATAATCCCCTGGGATTTTTGATTCCATCATCATCTTTATCAATTCTTTTAATGAAATTTCCATCATTACTGAATAGTTCCAGTTTGTGTTTACTAGAAATAATGATGTGGTCGTCGGCATCCACTGCAACTCCACGTGGCTTCCACTTACCCTCTGCGTCAACAATGTTTTTCAGAAACCTAAACTCATTGTCAAGTACTTGTAATATACATTGATTTGTAAATTTAAATTTATTATTCTGTTCATATAATACAATCACATTCCCTCCTTTGGTGACAGTAATGTCAGGGACTTTACGTTCTGGCTATACACTCCGGATCATCTGGTCATTATCAATGTTGAACACACAGATATTGTTCCAATCTGCTACATACACAGTAGACTCATCTACATGGAGACCCTTGGGATTCATCAGTTTTTCTTTACCAATGGTTTTGATTATTGTACCATTAATATTAATCAATGTGATACATAAATTACCATAATCACTAAATGCTATGATACCGTTTTTCACTTTGTACATTCTGTTAACTTTTACACTTTCTGGAAATGTAACCTTATCAATATATTCTGCTGATCTATTGTATTTGAAAATGTAGTTTGTCCGACAAGAAACGAGCGTGAGATCGTAATCATACAAAACTACATCTGAAACAATTTTTTCTTTTATTTCAATTGTACGTACTAGTCCTGCCTTCTCTTCCTCATTGGTGACTGCCTAATTGGTTTAACGTCAATACTCACATCAAGTGTGCAAACACCTGTACTTTTGCACTCTCCTGTAACAACAAGATATCCATTGCCATCTTCTTCAACTTGAGTGATGATGGTTTTTCCTGTTGGCTGTCTCCATGTGGCACTCAAATGGTTAGCATCTATTTCATATTCATCGGTTTTGCATACTTTGACAACAATTGGCTGACCTTGGGTCACATCTCCTCCTATTAATGCTAAATGATTGGCCATTGTTTCTGTTACATTTCCAATATCATATTCAATTTGCAATAAAGACCTGTTTTTGAAGAAGTGGATTTGTCCATCGTCATTTGGCTCTGCCCTAGGTGATTCAAGAAGATTTTCTTTCAGTGCTTTATATACCATATTACTTGATTTCATAGCTGTAATTTTATCACTCTTTATTAACTGATTAACATCACTCAGTGATTTTTCTACATTAGATATTTTCTTTGTCAATTCATCAATTTGCGTTTTGTTTACCTTTTTTTTCTTTTTGTAGATTGTCTCTACTTTATTTTTAATTTCATCTCCTTTCTCATTGATTTTAGTTGTCAGTTCTTCCACAGACTTGTCAATATGTGTCAAACAGGTGTCTTTACATTCTTCTAATTTTTTAACATTGTTATGAACCTTTTTGAGACCTTTTTTTAATTGGGCTGTTAAGACATTGGCTCTTTCTTCCAAGTCGCTAGCACTTTCTTGGAAATTTTGAAATGCTTCTTGAATTGTTATTGCTTTGTGTTTCCCTCTGGTGTCTCTGTGGTCAGTCTGTGTACACTCCTCACATACGGGAATTTTACATTCAATGCAGTAAAACTCTAAATGTTCATTATGAATCATGCATGGCAGTACTTTTGAAACTTCCTTTGGCCTGTGATCTTTCATCGCTGGGAATTTGGTATGGTAGTCACTACATGTAGAGCACAAGTAAAGTCTGCAATCCTGACAGTAAAATGTTGCTTGCTCATCTTTTTCACAAACACATTTCATCTTATCTGCTTTGAGAATTTGGTCACTATTTTTATTTTCAGTAACTTCCTGAAACCTGCTACACTCCAATTTGTTCTCGTCAAGACTTTCTACAGACTCATTTAACATAGCCATTATGACATATATCTGTGAATGAAAAAGATACTTAGTATATAAAATATAGTTCCATTATGTAATTGGCAAGATACTTGCTATTGGATGTGATGTATTTTGTATTGTTTTTTGACTTGTGCGTTTTGTGATTTGGATGGGAGCCACTTGATTTTGGCAGAAGTTCAAATGCAGTCGTTGATGAAAACTTCTCACATTATGCTATGATGGAACACTACAAGAACAACACTCATTATTGTTCACTCATAGTATGAACCACCAGCTCGGCGATCCGACTGGATGTCACATGCAACGATGTGCGTTTTCATGATCTCATTGTTTTGTTATTGTTTAGAAGCATGCAGTTGGAGGGCCATATTACATTTCAATTAAGCATATCATGAAAATATTTACTGAAACAACCATTGATTGAATACTATAGAAAATGTAGGATACTAGTGTCATTTTAGAGAGAGAGAGGGGGAGCGAGAGAGAGAGACACACACAGACAGACAGACAGACAGAGCTGACAAGCTGCAGGTCATGTAGTAATTGCTGCTGTTCTTTATTTGGAATTTAAGTAAGATAGGTAGATAACCTGTGTAAAATAGACCGCATCCCGAGTTTCTAGATTGAAATTTTTGACTTTCCACATTGGAATATATGGTATATTATGTGAGTAACATATTTAACTGATACTTTAATTAAAGTTTACACACATTTTTGTGCCGGTCAAGTTTTTAAAATTTGCTCTTAGCCTTACTCTCGTTCCACTTTAACCTTCTACATACTTCCAGGGCTGAAAATTAACCTTAAAACCTTAGTGGCCAGCAGGGCCAGTAAGAAAAAAATGATACTGGCCCTTCCAAAGTTATACTGGCCCTATTTTTTGTTATGGTCCAAAATATAATTTGACGAAAAAACAAAATCAATAAAACCAGCAAGATGACATTGTTTAATAATAATTTTTGTTAGCCAATTGAATCCGTCTTTAGTCAAAATCATTAGTCTGAGCTGTCAAGAGTCTCGGTCAGAGTACCAGAGAAAAATCCATTGTATTAGAGAGAGTTTTTATGGCCCAAAATTGTGATTGTAGACCATGTTAGGGATTGGCAATCAAAAAATGTTATTTATTAGGCAAATTCATATTTTTAGCACACCAACCAATGAGGTACAGTAATTTAAAAGTTTTCTAAATATATAACACAAAATTTGAAAGAATTACCAAGGCCTCTAGTATAGACTTATTTTATCCTATTTCAGGTATTACTAAAAATAAAAAAAATAAAAAAATCCGATCGACTGATCACAATTTTTCCCATTTAAAGACATAATGTTCCATGCTAAATACCAAAAAATCATAAAAATATTTTTAGAAATTAACTTGCCCATTTTGAAGTAAAAGTTATCAACTTGAACACAGAAATTAGTGAATTTAAAAAATGTCTACCCATCAGTTTAGTGCGAAAGTGATTGAAGTGTTTTATTTATTTTTTTAAAATAATTTTTTTGTTTCAAAATCAGGGTACACATTTTTTAAATTCAATAATTTTTATACAGAAGTTAATAATTTGTAAGCTATTGCAATATAATCAAGATTATTTCAAAATTATTTGTTAAGATTTTGACATTAGCAAGGGACAATTAATACATCTTTAAGGGCAACACAACAATTTTTTTTTTGGCCTAATAATCAAAATAGTTGCCTGAATTTCCCTTTCTACTGTTACTTCAAACTAGAATCTCTAGGTACTGAAGTGTCCCCAGTCACAGCAAAAATGAAATTTACAGTAGCTGTGTTGCTTATCTTATGTGTGTGATCAGCATTACAAAATGTACTGTAGAGGGCGACAAATACCTAAAATTTAGGCAACATTGTCATTGTACTTCAACAATACAAATCTTTTCTGTTAGCCAACAAAAACTCAATATCAAGTTTTGACTATTTGACTAGAGTCCTGTATCATTGGTTACGTAGAAAAAATAGGTGGAATACACAAAAACAAAAACGACCTGTACCTCTTGTCTTAAGACTCAGAGCTGTACTACACCACACTAAGATGCTTTGAAAATTCTCTGGATTACGAATTTTCTTACTTACAAACTCTGTTCTGGGAGTTACTGTACTGTTAATACTATATGTTCATTTGAAAATTAATTTCCTTTAACCAAAGCCGATGTTTTGAGCGAGCCATGCCTGATAAAGCAAACTGTTCATTCCATTGCATAAAAATCATAAATGTGTTTATGAAGCAAAAGCTCTTCCCCTCGACTGCAACGGGGATAGTTTCTTTAGGATCTCTGGCCCTCCTGGGTACTGCAAACCCCCCAGATGCAATATCATTTAGGGGCAAGGGCTTAGCCAGCAAGCCGCCCGGCCGTCTTTTGGACGGCCTAAAGTTATTTATGACGGCCATTTTTACCATGACAGCTTGGACAGCTTGGGCTACTCAGCTCGGCTTAGCCTAGTTGGGCTTGGTCTACCTTTAGCAATTACCACCCACCCAATCCCGCTCGTGGCTTCGACCCTTGGCTAGCGCTACGCGACAAAATATTTGTCTTCCATTTTGGACGGCCTATTTCTTTTTTTCTGATTAGGAAGGAAAGTTATAATTGGTGTTAGCCCAACCTAGTCAACATTTCACAAAGTCACAATAGTGATAACATAACACAAACATCATTTTATGATTTACCAATACTTGTATACTTGAAGATAAATGTAATGAAAAGCTATATGATAATGTAAATTTGCTAAATCAAAACAAAAATAATAAAAACTGATTAAAAAATATTTTTTATTAAGAGTTAATAAATGAACTTGTTATTTGTTCCTATATTATATATAAATGCTTGATTTTTATGAAACTTGAATAAATACACTCTATGAATTAATTAAATATGTCATAGAGTTATCATTCTGTAAAATAGTAAAAGTAAAATGTTTTTTGATGACTTTTTTTATATAGTAAATTATTTTTGTTATTCTTTGTCCATATTTTTCTGAATAGCCATCAGATAAGCCAAAAATATTTCAGTAGCAGTTATGGGAAATATTATAGTTGTAGGGAATCCTAAACATATAATTTTCTTGGTATTAACATCTTGAGAGAAAAATTTTTTTACAACTAATAGAAACTTCTTAACTGTTCATGTCGTTAACTTATTAATTGGATAAAAGTTGCTGAAATTTTTGCAATCAGTGCTTAATATAGTACTATAAATCATTACAGTTATCATTTACATCAAATTGTTCTTGATTTATTATTGATGTAACTAAAATTATATTTTATATAACTGGCAACTTCAAGTTTATTGTTAAGCCATTCATCGGCTTTGGTTAAAGGAAATTAATTTTCAAATGAACATATACTATTAACAGTAAAGTATCTCCCAAATACGTACCCCTCTAAGTAAGAAAATTTGTAAGCCAGAAAATTTTCAAAGCATCTTAGTGTGGTGTAATACAGCTTTGAGTTGCGTCTTTAACAAACAGGTATAGGTCGCTTTTGTGTATTCCTACATAACAAATGTATCACCGCATTCCATTTCTGTTAATCGATAGCTTTGCAAATTCTCGCCAGGCATTTGGGAACATTGTAAATTTTTTAGTCCTTTCTCATGTGGAGGATGAAATTTGGTTCAGTTGATAATGTGTGTCATTAATTTCTTCTGTGCTACTGCATGCTACTGATAACATAAAATATGGAAACAAACTTTCTTTATTTCTTGTTTATTCTTCACACACATACATATGGAAGATATGTCTTTAGCTATACATATAAGAAAGACAGAAAGGTTTCCCAAATCTAGAACAGTCAATACTTTTATACTAATTCATATTAACCCATGTTTCATTTGTATAATACTCAAAAGAAAATTCCAATTCTATGAACAATATGAATATAAAATTGTAAATATAAATTGTAAACAAAGTTCTAAAAAAATATATAGTATTGTAAGTCAGTTGACATCATCACTTTAATTTGCACTGAATTTTTCTATTCCTGACCGAGTAAAAAGTATGGTGCCTCCAATTTGTTGCTTCCTGTGTGCAAAAAAGCTCAAAGCTGGGATGATTTTACTACAGTGAACGCACATAGCAATCCTAACAAATCTCGCCCTACAGCGGTTGTTAGCACAAATGAAGCCTAAACAATCCTAAGTTTGGCCTAGAAAGCCATAACGCTTATGGAATAACAAGGTGATTGACTGAAAAACTGAAGAACTGGAAAAAATAAGGCAACGCTGAAATAATTCATAATAATGTTTAGAATACATTTGAATCTATTAAGCAAATGACAACCAGGAAGGAGGTTAGGCCTACCTAATAACCCCTAATGAACTTCATTAACCACAATTAATTTATTCATCTCTGTATCGACAAGTATTGTGGAGAACTGTGCTTTCCTTCAAAAATTGCCTTCAGTCCTACAGGCTTCAGGCAATTTTTCAGGAATTAATGGCTCCTTTGGCTTCTATTTCCTATAGTGTACCCAAAACACTGTATTAATTGCTTATTATAGATATGGAAAATATATATTTAGTTATACATAAGCATTTGCCAATGGAAGATGAATTTCCGTTTGTATTTTTATGAGGAGGACAATAATAAACATTTCCTAAATCTGAAGCAGCCAATATTTGTATACTAATTTAAATCAAACCAGGTTATATTTGTATAATATTCTCTCTAAAAAGAAATGTTTTCCAATACTATAAATAATGCGAATATAATGATCAATATATGAGATATAATATGTAAAGATAGCATGATAATGTAGGTACATAATGGTAAACACACATAGTAAAATACAGTACTATATAAATTATCAATATAAAGTATTTTAGATAGAAGATATAAATTTAGTTTATACATATAATAAGAAAGAAAGAAACCAAATCTAAAGTAGTCAATATTTGTGTACTAATTCATGTCAAACCAGGTTGTATTTGTGTAATACTCTCAAGAAAACTTTTCCAGTAATAAACAATACCAATTATAATGAGGAATATATGAAATACAA